ATATAAATATCCACATTAATTTAGTTAAAAAGTCAAACTATATAAAAAGACCATATACATAGAAAGATACATATACTGCAGCAGAGAAATTTGGGAGTGCGGTATCTTTTACTTTACGGGGGGCAGCCTAGCAAAGTAGTCCAGACAGGAAGCACGCCCAGATGAACTAATTCTTCTTTATGGGCAGATTCCATTAACAGAATCTTGCAAATCTGCTGAAGGAACATCTCTTCCCCCCCTCCCCTTGTCCCCTTTACAGCCCCAGAAACTAGGAAGGGTCTCTTCTGAGATGTTTTCCACACTCCCATTTCTGTTGAGGGCTTAGCTGCCTCTTATCCAACGGTTCCCCTGGCTGTGGCTCTTCCCCCTGTCTCCCAAGGTTATTCGCCCACACCACTACAAGGGAGATGAAGAATTCATTCAAGGGGACATCCACTAGCTCCTCCTATTGTTGCTAACAACAAGAAGAACCCCAACATTAAAAATAACCAATTTGTCAGTGGACGCAGAAAGTCAGATAGCTTATATCTCTAGACTGCTTCTCATTAAAAACAAAAACTTAAAGGAAAGTTACAGGCAACTGTGCATAACGTGCCATTTGGACTGCTATGTCTTTGCTAGCCAGGCTATTAATTGATTTCTGAGCATGTTGTTGCTCCTTCCTCCTGGATGCAGATGCATTCTGAACTCATTTAATTTTCAATTCCAGCGTTGCCAACATGATTGATGCTGAACTATTTCTCACTGCCTGAGAGACAAACTGGAGTCAGGAACATACAATATCACAATGGTTTTGACCTTCATGGAGAAAGTTTAAGTCTCGTTGACATAAAGGGGGGTGCACTTAGTTAACCCAGGACATCTGGTTGGGTGGAGATGTGCATGATGCATCCCAGAGAGATCGCTTCCTCTGGATTGGCAAACCATTCAAGAGCCCCAAAGGCAGAAGTGCTTGGAGAACATCTTATATGACATGGAATCTGAAAGCATTTCCTTTAACTGAGGAAAGCAAAAAGTGTGCGGTGTGTCTGGGGATTAATGACCTCTACCTGGTCACATCTACCTGGATGGACAACAGAGGTGCTTGCTTGTGTCAATTTTTTTAGAAACATTTTGTCTGTAACACGTACCAGCAGTTGGCTGAACGTCATTGGACGATATGGATTAAAGGCAAGAATTTGTAGAGATTACATATTAAAATTATTTGGGTGGGAGTGGTGAAGAATTGTGCCATGGGATGACGGTATCATGTCATCATGCCAAAGGTAGACACAGGGGACATGTTTGGTACTGAGTAGTTTTAGCATTTTTAAATAATACCAATCCAATCCAAAAGTTTGCAGACCTTGGGGTTCTTGTTAAACTTAGCAAGAAACCATGCCTCCATGACTGATTGGTTGACTCTTGAGTTTTGGAGCCCTGATCCCTGGAAGCTCCCCACAAAGGGGGTTGGATTCTGCATTGGGTAATCTATTATCACAGACACAGTAATGGCTGCTAACATGGATGTCTGCTAAATTCATGAAGGACAGGTCTATCAAGGTCCCTCAGGCCTGAAGACTCCATGATACCTCCACGTTGGGGACAGTCTACTTCCTAGTAGCAGATGCAGAGGAACAATGATCAGAGAAGGAGCTATATGTATCACCCTTTGCTGCTTCCCAGCATCTCAGAGGCATTTGGATGGCCACCATGAAGAACAATATGCGGGATTAAGAGGGGACTTAACCTGATCTAGCAGGGCTGTCCTTATGTTTGGTGTGGAATTAAAATATTTTTCACCCTTCTTTGCCCTAGTAACGGATCTTGCATATCTCTGTCAACGTAATTTTCCTTACTCTCTACAACAGCCATCAGTTCCTACAATAAGTACAGTTGAGAATTACATCCCTGTTAGATTCATTTGAGAATACATTTTCATAAGACTGTGCAAAGTAATAGTTTGAGAAGAAACCATTAACATTAGAAATTATTAGGAAAGCACCAGCTGAAAATTCTTCCTCTCCTCTCCTAAATCCTAGAGGGGAAAGGATGGGGCGAACCACCTCCCACCCCTATTTCTTACCTAGAAGTTGTTCTGGATTGTCCAGCAGTTCAAACTCCCCTACAAAAACAGAAGACAGATGAGCAAATCCACTGGACAGAACTGGGATTTGGTTCAGACCTAACCTTGTAGGACAACTTCTAAAGGCATAACTGTGTTGGTCTGTTTCTGCAAAACTGGCAAAGAGCCTTGTAATTTTTAGGAACGTAGGAAGCTATCTCGTAGGGAGTCAGACTGCTGGCTCCTGAGGTCCAGGGCTATTAAAAGATTGGCAGCTGGAGTTTTTCCACTGGAGTTGCTGGGGACTGAACCTAGGACCGTCTACATGGAAAGCAGGGGCTTGACCACTGAGCTATGGACCTCCTCTTGATACACAAACCTCCTGAAATGTTTCTAATGATCACCCCAATCAACAATGCAGGGCAGACACCTGAGAAATCCATGTGATGTTTCTTTTGATCTGAATTCAAACTCTAATGACAGCACAGATGCAACCATCTAATATTCTTGGCAACAGTACAGAACTGGGTTATCCCCGGCTCTTTGTGGACCTTTTTTTTTTTTACTGTCCAATTTAACCTATGCCCCTAGGATTTCCTCACAGTCTCCTACAGATGTACTCATCAGGTTTGATACTACTTAATTTTTCATATTGGGTGTGTGTGTGTGTGTGTCATTGTGGGTTGTGATACCCTTGGTATGAGATGAGTGAGGGTCTCAATCCATTTTGTACAGGGCATGAGACCCATGCTGGCTGGGGAATTCTGGGAGTTGAAGTCCCCCCATCTTCAAGTTGCCAAGTTTGAAAAACACTGGTCCAGATGGATTTTTTTATTTTATTT